CCTAAAGATAGTCAAACGATTTTTTTTTAACCAGCTCACTAAGTCGTTGATGACTTGGCGACTTTTCGTGTTCGCAAGTCATAATCATATATTTATTATACCTCAAATTATTTCAACCGAAAGTCCAATTTCTTTATTTCGGCGTTTAAACATTGCTATTCTATTGTTTTTATGTATAGTTTACTTACTGAAGTGTCTAGTGTGCAAATATAGAAAAATAACACTTCTCTGACTCCAATGAAACCAATATTTTATTCCTTACGATGTTATAGATTCTTATTCATAAGATTTATTTACATTTTACATGCATGTAGCATCGCGTGACAAAAACTCGAAGTTTGTTTACTTCGTTCTTCGCGGAGACTAGAAGGTGTTGCCATTCCGCTTTAACTAAATTTCATTAGAAACTTAACGGAACTGAAGCGACACTACACACCCCCTTCCTAGTGACAGCGATTATGGAAGATAATCTTTGAAGTGACTGGGGAACTTCACATGTCTGCCGGTTCTAGTAGTCTTAGTTTTATGATGAGTTTCTGAATTTTCTTCAGTGTTCTTGAGTGCAGGTGTTTCCCCAAGTTGCGCTTTCTTGGAATGGGAGTTTTGAAAAGGAATATCAGAATCTTGCACTAGGAAACATGGCTTTAGTCTGTCTATTGAAACTCTTTAACTTTCCTTGGATTTCAATATCGAAGTACTTATCCTTTCTTGCTCTTACAGGATACGGTCCAAGATAGACAGGCTGTAGCGACGAATTATTAATGTTGTTGTATAGGAATACGTGAGAACAGTTGGAAAGATGTTTAGAAACAAAGACTGTTCTATTTCCATGGGTGGTGGTAGAACTTGGCTTCATAGCTCTTATATTTTTCTGAAGGTTTTGAGAAAATTCAGACTGTTTCATATGAAGGTACTGTTGAAAAGAATTCACCAGGTAATGCTAAAGGGGTTCTGTATACAAGTTTTGCGGATGAGCAGTTTAAGTCTTCCTTGATGGCAGGATCTTATGCCTAAAAGAACGAAAGGCAATGCTTCCAGCCATGATTTTGATTCGAGTAGATGACATTTGAGACTTGCTTTTAAAGTTCGGTGTTGTCTTTCGATCAGGCCATTTGCCTGTGGATGGTACTCAGTTGTAGTGTTTGTATGAAAACCAAGATATTTTCCTAAAGCTTGAAAAAGTTGGCTATCAAATTGCCGACCTTGGTCAGATGTTATGCGATTCGGAATTCCAAAGCGTGAAAAACCAAGTATAAATCAAAGCTTTAGCAATAGATTCTGCTGATTGATCTTCTAACGGTACCGCTTCGATCCATCGTGTATAACGATCGATGATGGTTAGAAGGTATTTGAATCCTTTGCAAGGAGGTAGCGGATCCACCAGATCTATGTTTAAATGCTGGAATCTGTGTGGAGGTGCTTTGAATTCTCCCAAAGATGAATGTGTATGTCTGTGAACTTTTAGATCTTTGGCAAGATAAACATGCTCTAGTCCATAGTTGGCAGTCTTTATTCATATTGGGCCATATGAAACGTCGTGTTATATCAATTTTATCGTGGATCTTATTCCAGGATGAGATAAATTATGGATTGAAGAAAATATTTTCTGCCGAAACTTTGCAGGGATGTATGGTCGATTATAATTTGTAGAAGTATCACAGTAAATTTTCTTGTCGCTGTCCGGTATAGGGATCTGTAGGATTTTTAAGTTTGGGTTGTTTTTTTAGTGTCTCCAAGTCGTCATCTTCTTGACAGTCTACTATAGTTTGTAAGTCTATTGCAGATGGTACAGAAATGGTGTCTATGCGAGAGAGAGCGTCAGCGACGGTATTTTCATGCCCTTGTATGAATCGGATATCGGTTGAGAACTGGCCTATATATGATAGTTGTCGAGCTTGTCGTGGTGAAGCTTTTTCCAAATTTTGTTGGAAGGCAAATGTTAGTGGTTTGTGATCCGTGTATATTGCAAAAGTTTGCCCTTCTAAGATGTATTTGAAATGTTTTACTGCTGTATAGATGGCTTAGAGTTCTCTGTCGTAGGCACTATATTTTTGTTGTGCTGATGTCAAATTTCGGGAAAAGGAACTCAAGGGTTTTTCATTATTCACAATCTGATGTAAAACGGCTCCAATGGCAGTATCGGAAGCATCAGTTGTTAGCGATATTTCAGCCTTTTCGGATGGGTGAGTTAAGTTTGTGGCATGAATAAAGTGCATCTTTTAAGATCTGGAAGGCGTTTCTTGTTTCTGCCGTCCAGGTTATTTCTTTTCTGCAGTTCTTTTTTAATACCACTGAGCAATGTTGTTAAAGGTTGTTTGCAATTTCGCACAATTTGGTATGAATCTGTGATAAAAATTCACCATACCTAAAAATCGTCTTAAACTAGTAAATGACTTTGGTTCTGGGAAATTTTTGATGGCATCAACTTTCGTTGAAAGAGAGTTTAAGTCCTTCAGCTGACACTTCGTATCCCAGGAATGCAAGTTTTGTTTGACCAAAATTTACACTTTGCCGCATTAATACACAGGCCATATTCGTTTAGTCTCTCGAGGACTGCTCGTATATGTTTTCGATGAGATTCTTCATCCATGGAGAGGCTATTAGAATGTCATCCAAATAGCAAAATACGAATTCTAGTTCATTCAGCACCTTATTCATGAAACGTTGGAACATTTGGACCGCATTGCGTAAGCCGAAATTATGAATGGGAACTCGAATAAGCCAAAGGGAGTGGAGAATGGCCGTTTTCGGTATATCTTCTTCGCGAACTGGAATTTGTTGGTACGCTCTGATGAGGTCTATGGATGAGAAATTTTTTTTTCCAGCTAAAATGGAACTGCAATCTGTTAAAAATGGGAGAGGGTATCTATCAGGAATCGTGACGTTGTTTAACGCTCGATAGTCTTCACAAGGTCTCCAATCACCTGATTTCTTCATAGTGAGATGTAGTGGGCTCGACCAGTTACTTTTGAATGGCCTGCATAAACCCATTTGGAGCATAAATTCAAACTCCTTTTTAGCCGCTTTAAGTTTCTCAGCTGACAGTCTCCTGGCTTTAGCTAAAACTGGTGGACCTCTGGTTTCGATATAATGTTCGATGTTATGATTTTTAACTTTATTATTAACTACATTCAGTTTTAACAAATCCGGAAAATCGTTAATGATACGTTTATATGGATCATTTACGGCATTTAAAATCTGAATATTATTATTGTTATTTTGAAAACAAGGAGTTCCATTGGTTGTTAAGAATGTAGTACCATCAATCAACTTGCGATTTTTAGAATCTACCAAAAGGTTAAAATTTGCAAGAAAATCCATGCCTATTATCGGTTTGTTTACATCCGCAATTACAAAAGGCCATGTGAATGATCGTCTGAGTCCAAGATCAAGCTTGAGTAATTTTTGGCCATATGTTTTAATTTTCGTACCATTTGCAGCAAAGAGTTCTAATTTTGAGATGTTTTTTTTTATTTGCAGGCAAGGGAGGAATGACAGAAATTTCTGCCATAGTATCTATTAAAAATTGGGTAGCCGATTCTTTGTCGCTGATGAAAAGACGACTCAGCTGCACCCCTTGTCTCTTCGTCGTCAATGAGAGACGGGGAGCTGGTTTTCCGGACTATTTGTCTGTGATGTTGATGAGTAGTTGCAAGGTTGTTTACACTTAAATGACTTATCACCGAATTTTTTATGATAGTAACAAATATCACTAGACCTGTTACCACTGTAACTCCTATCTCTTGATTTGGATCGGTTACGACAATAGGGACGACTGTGGCGTTGCTTGTTTAAAGCAGAAACTTGTAAGCTAAGTTCACTAACCTGTTTTTGTAAACTTTCAATCACTTCCTTTTTTACCGTTATGGATGATGCAGCAGCTATTTGGTGAGTAACAGGGTTTAATTCCCAAATCTTATCGGCCATTGTAGCCACTTTTGACAAATCTTCATTACTAACAGATATAATGCTACGCATATTAACGGGTAAACGTTGTAGCCACAATGTTTTTAGGAAAGTGTCTGTTACTTTATTGCCCGCCAAATTACGCATGTCACACAGTAATTGAGATGGCTTTTTGTCACCCAGTTCTAACTCACTCAGTAATTTTGGGGTTTTTTGAGTCTCTGAATCAGCATATAATGAAATTAGTCTATTTTTAATTGCCTCATATTTATTATCTTGTGGTGGACTTAGCAAAATATCAGATACCTGTGACAAAATATCGAGTTCAATGGAACTTATAACATAATCATATTTTGTTTGATCTGCATTTATTTTTGCTTTTCTAAATTGTGCTTCTAGTTGAATAAACGATATTTTAGGATCTGGCTTCCAAAAAGGAGGAACTTTAACGCTTACATTGGCGACAGATGGAGTTGTTGCTTTAATTTCGGTTTCGTCTTCGTCAGCCATTGTAGAATTCGATCACGCCGGGATACACCAGTGAAGTGTCTAGTGTCAAATATAGAAAAATAACACTTCTCTGACTCCAATGAAACCAATATTTTATTCCTTACGATGTTATACATTCTTATTCATAAGATTTATTTACATTTTACATGCATGTAGCATCGCGTGACAAAAACTCGAAGTTTGTTTACTTCGTTCTTCGCGGAGACTAGAAGGTGTTGCCATTCCGCTTTAACTAAATTTCATTAGAAACTTAACGGAACTGAAGCGACACTACACTTACATTTTGCTCTTATTTAGCTTGGAAGAAAAATAAATTAAATATAGTGAATTACAGTAAAAACAATTACTTAATATTTAATTTTTAAAAAGTTTCTTTTTTCATTTGAATGGCTTTATTTATATTTCTGTGTAGACAGGTTGAAGAAAAATAAAAGAAATACCAAAAATTTTCTTTCGGATTATTCCTTAAAGAAGGAAGTCTCAGAAAAATGATTTTCGCGTTATGTTACGATAAAGACTTTTCTTCAAGAAATATTTTGAGTTAACAGAAGACGATTAAGTTTATGTGTCTTTTTTCTTTTTAGCTTCGAAAGAAGAAGTGCCCTTCCTCTCCCCATCTTATCGAACACAAGGAATCAGACTGCCATTAAAATGTCGTCTGAATCCTGTAAGTACAATTGTTTTCTTTTTCTTCTTTTTTCATTCTTGCGTCTTTTTTTTTCTTTCTTTTCTTTTTTTTTTTTTTAATACCGCTTCATTTTTTTTAACATTCGAATTTTTATTTTTTTCTGCTGTTTGCAGAAATTTGTGAATATTAAAGTATTTCAAGCATTTCATTTTCTCCCTATCCCTTCGCTAATAGGTCTCCAAAACTTTAGTTTTTCGTTTGATATTTCTCAATCTGTTATGTGCTGTCATTAAGTACTTAGACTTTTGTAATCGGTCATTTCTTCTCAAGTTTTTTTTTCTTTTAAATCACGTTTTCATTTTTTGCTTTGTCGACTGAAATACATTTTTTAAGCAATTTTAAGATGTGTTTTAATTTATTTCTGTTATGCTTCTACAAGAGGTTTCAGTAGGCTTATATAGGGTTTACGTATGAGAGAATCCTTTTTCATTTAAATTTGATACATTCTAAGCGTAAATGAGAATTTCCATTTCATTTTTTGAACTGAAATGTTTTTTGCTATAGAAATGAAATTATCATCGCAAGTTATGTGAATTAATGTTTTTCTGAATTAAAAAGAAAGTTCCTTCCTAAATGCCAAATTTTTTAGAATTAATTTCATTGCGCTTTTTTGTTTGAAATAGTGATTTTTCATCTGTATGTTAAAATTCGTATTTATTTGCGCAGAAAAAACAGTTTACACCACATAAAATAATTAGAAAATTCAGTAAAAGTTACTTCCCTAAATAAAATGACAAATTTTTAGACCAAAGACCGTTAGCCCAGAAGAGCTATTAATTTCATTTCCCTTTTTTGTTTGAAATAGCATCCGTATGTTAAAATTCGTATTTATTTGCGTATAAAAAATATTTACACAGCATAAAATAGTTAGAAAATTCAGTACATATCAAATGCGAGTAAAAAAAAATACCCAGTTGGATTAGTATAAATTTACAAAAAAGGGTAATTTAGCGTTAATGTAGCAGTGTAACAATTATGACTTAAATTTTTCTAACGGTTACTTCTAAGTCAATTTTTGTACTTACTAACTATCCCCATCTCGACCGAGCAGTCTAGTGATATTCAAGTAAAACCTTTCATCGGGTATCTTTACGTCTATTTTAGTCATACATCCTATTGCGCCTATGTTATTTGTGTTTTTCTTTTCCGTAAAAGACACATTCTCGATTTTTTTCGGTGTTTTTCTGTGCGCAAACTCGGCATCATGAATTTTAAAATGGCAAATACACGTGGGCTAAGCGCATGGCTGGGTTGACACACAAATACTTCTTGGCGACATGGTACGCTACCTCCTCTGTCTTTTCTCACGCCATTTCAATGGGAGCGCGATTATCAGAAGGTACTTTAATTTCTATCCTATGTTCCCTTGGCTTTTCATGATACTCAGTCTAGAGCCTTATGCAATTTGAAAGGCAAGTTCTGATATTAAAAGAGTAGGATATCTATCATCTACTCAGGAATCTATTGAGACTTATGATTCTGCCTGTGTATCTGTAATTCTGCCTGTGTGTCTGTGAAAGTCGCTTGCAGAGCTGTGAATAAGGTATTGAAAAGCTGGGTAAATATTAAGAAAATTAGCTTTCCGTTACGCCCTCAGTGCGTTTTACATTGTGTTAGGATATTTTTGTAATCACATTGTAACCTTAACGGGAATGGCAAGCAGCATATTATTATATTGTAAAGCTTGACGAGAAGATTTCAATTTTAGTTTTGCAACTTCCAGAAGTCCTGATTAATGAAGTTTATGTTAAGCTTACCTTTGCACTTTTGTGATGTTTTAATAATTAATCAACATCAGAAGCTATAATTCGCTAATCGTTCATATAATAACTGTGGATAGTTGCTAGGTGTTGAGTAGTTCTAAGTTGTTTTACACCATATGACTTATAAAAGAAGTTTGGTGCCACATTTTGGACTGTTTCTCGTGTATACTGTGTCTGATGTATATTAGTATATAAAAGTGCTAGGTGTAGATTAACTGCAGTCAAACTTTTATAAAAGTGGTAAATATCAACCCTAACATGAAATAATAACTACAGATGAAATGTAAATATCAACCAACCTAACGTGAAATAATAAGTACAGATGAAATATAAATATAGACGTGAAATACTAAATACAGATGAAATGTAAATATTAACCTAACGTGAAATAGTAAGTACAGATGGAATCAAATACATGAGATTAGATGGCGCAGTTAAATGCCAAATATATTTTTATTCATGGCAAGTCAACTAGCATAGACATATTAGCATGGGATATCTCTGCTCGTGCCCACCGAGCCCATGCTTTCAGACGGCACTGGAAGGGAACGTCTGGAACTTTCTAACAAAAATTGGCTTATTTTTCTCGTTGCACATTAAAAAAACCATTAAAACCAATTGTACAACCACCATTTCGCCTGAGTCCGATCGAAACTTGTGCCAAACAACTAGTCGTCTTAACAACTCGGGGAAAGCCAAAATCTGCCTGGAAGATAACGTAATACTTGCACAGTTTTAAAATTTTAAATATGTTTGTTGGTGCTGTTAGGTTCGGCTCGCCGTAGATTTCAATTAAAATTAAACTTTTTTTAGTCTGTCATCCAAGTTCCTTCTCTCGCCCAATCATATCAGTTTTTTTTTAACTAGTTACAGCAATTTTTCATCCATATGTAATATTTCTTATTTATTTCTTTATCAAGAGAAGCTTACCTGCATATAATAACTATAAAATTTAGTAGATATCAAATGCGGCAAGAAAAAACACGCAACTAAGATTGGTATAGATACTGCCAAGAATTTATTGGCACATTTAATGATAAATTCTGAATGTTAACCCAGAATGGCTATTAATTTCGTTTTGGTATTTTGCATCGAAAACTTTAAACGTCCGTTTCACTTTTCGAATTGTTGCCACTTAATGTTATAGCACTGTGTTATATTTAAAGAAATTAAATAATGAGGAATCTGCGTAAATGTATGTATGTTTCTCGCATTGTGATAAAATAACGGTACCTAGAACCATCCAATTTTAAATAACCTAATCCTCTTGCGAATATGGGCATCTGGAAGCCCAAATTTGGAATTTGTTTTATTATCGATTTCATATTTTGTAAAACTTTAACGAATTTTTGATTAACAAACTCAAGGATTTCAAAGCGAGCAATGGCAGCGTTATACAGAAAAATATGCTGATTTTAAAATTGTTTTGGATTTTGCTATCGAATTGAATTTTATGGTTGAAGTGCGAAAAATATGATATTTAATAAATAAAGGTAGCACACAAAACGTTAAAAGAAACTTTTCTTTGGGCGTAATGTAAAATCTGAAAGCTTTCAGTTATTATTATTATTATTATTATTATTATTTCCGGTGAATATTATTTGGCAATCGTGTTCAAAACTGCATCAAATAAACAGAAACTGTTATCTGCAGCTTGTCTTTGCCGTCACGTGAGATCTGATAAGTACGAAGACAAGTGCTGACGAACTGTACCATATTATCGCGCTTCTTCTTCCATTTTGTGAATACCCCCAGACGTGTTTTCTATTGGTTTCATGTAGATGCCAATCTTGGGATCGAAGTTGGCTTTGAAGTAGGCTTTGAAGTAAAAAGTGACTAATCGGCCGACTTTAGCGACTAATTACTTTAAAAAGAAAGAAACAGAAATATGAATTATGTCTTTGTAGAAGAATCCGGAACAGCTTCTAGGGTTGCTTAGCGCTTTGCAAGAATTAGAGTCACAAGTGATAATTTTGTTGATGTATTAGCAAATGCCATATAACAAACAAGTACAGGACCGACCCAAAAATCCATTAACATTTGAAAATTCAATAATGCACTGAATGATGTAGAGGTAAAAACTGACACATATGCTTGAAATGTCATAGGTTTGATATTGAAAACAAAAAAACAAAAAAACTGCAAACTGCCAACAGATGGCAGTTCATATCATTAGGCCGTTTCCTCCATTCGCAACACTTTCAAAACAAAGTGTATATTCTGCATATAAAATTATTTGTTATAGGTGCTAACAGGCCTGTGGAGTCGGTAAGGAAAATAACCGACTCCTGGAATTTAAAGACTCTTTCCCTCATATATATATATATACACATGAGTTACAGCTTACGTTTTACTAGTAAAAGACTTACTAATAAAAGAAGCTTACTACTTACTAGTAAAAGAAGTAATAGATGCTACTTACTAGTAAAAGAAGTGATAGATGCTACAGGAAAAAAAAATTATGGCATAGTAAATTATTTATATTAATTAGCATTTATTATGCAATGGAAAAACTGGCATTAGTTATTTCTAAGAAACATTATAGCTTCGGCAAGATCTTCTTTGTTAGAGAGCCATAGAAATGATTTGATAAACTTCAGAGCTGAGAAGAATCTTTCCACACTAATTTGAGTAGGAGGAAGAGCTCTTACTGTTTGGGTTACTCCTTTTAACTTTTCAGCATAGATTTTTATAAGTTCTAAAACAGGTGTCTTTCAAGCGCAATCATATTTCTCTAATTTTTTCAAAGGCCGTGTAGAAATCTTGTTTGTATTTTTTCAATTTTATATATCTAAAGGCTCTTGGTTCTTTTTCATTCGCTTTTTCTTAGCCTTTTCAATATTATCCAAAAAATATTTCTCAAAATTTAATTCATCACTGGAAGATTATGACAGAGACTCAATTGCAATGTCTTCAGTTTGACTGTCCTGATTCGAATTTTCCAATTGTTCTGAGTATAATTTCATTCTTTATGAAAGTTTTTTGCCTTTTTAATTTTTCGTCATCCAAGAAAATTCGGTGTTTTGGATCTACATATATTGAACCCAGCAAGATCTCATTGTCTAGCAAACTGGTTTCTAATTTCTTCATTGAAGAAATGATTCCTTCTGCAATAAACCCTCCATTTCATGAAGAACAAACTATACATTCTTCCATTCTCGCCTCCTGTCAATTCTTCAAATTGCAGCTTTTTTGTGGCTATAAAGGGTGTAGAAAGAAGAGTTTCCAATTCTGCAAGATGATTCCTCTGTCTTTCTGTTAGCGAAACATTAGGGTTATCTACATCTTCTAAAAAAGTTTTTAATTCTAAGAATCTCATCTTTATCATCAAATATGTACTTCCTTATCGCGTCGCTTGATCAATAATTGCTCCTTTTCCTGCTCGCTTCCCAAGAATGGCATCAATTTTGAAGTTCTTCCTGCTATTGCTGCTTACCTAAATTTACCAGTGATATTTGTAACTAAAAGATTCAGTTTAATCACAATTGGCAACTTTCACATCTCTCCTCCTCCCTTATATTTATTTATTAATATGTCAATAAAATAGAAAATAACTATTTATTAATATATATAGTTCATAAATAAAATAATAACTCAGGTTGTCATTAATTTTTTTCCAATGCATTTTAATTTCATTTCAAATTCAAACTGTCCAACCAAAAACTGGAGTCGGAGTCGACCTATTTTTAGCGACTCCAGGTCCGACTCCTTTTACCCCAAAATCTGCCCGACTCCGATTCCGACTTCATGACTTCGACTACGACTCCACAGCCCTGGGTGCTAAAGCAAACAGGAATCAACGAAATATTCATATATTTTCAGAGCATGGTAAAAAATGAAGATTTACAATTAGAAGTAATTTACCTGACCAGTGATAAAGCCGAAATTATACTGCACTAAATCTTGTTGCCTTAGTTACTCCAAAAATAATAATGATCGTTATTAACGATCCTTGTAGCTTATCAATCAAATTTAATATTTCTAAATTCTTTATAAAGGCAAGAAAAATTATCGTACCTTTTCTGTCTTCCGGTTGGCCGAGGATACATCCATTCTGATCGCTGAAATATCTAAATTCAAAGATTCTTTAAAATATTGACACTTAGATTTCTATGAAATATAAACAGATTATATACATTTATATACTATTATTAGGTTACGTTTACATGAACATGACGCGCTCTCCTTCGTACAGTCACTCTAGCTCTTGTTCTGGTTCTAGTTCAATGCAAATCAGAGTTCAGTTTACGTTTTGTTTTTAATTGTTATAAAGTTTAGATGTAACGGCGCTGATTGTCCAGTGTTTAGATGTAACAATCCTCCAATAATAGTTATTTTAATTTAGATTTGAAATTGATATTAGATTTTGGTTAAATTTTACTAGTTATTAAAATTCAAGATGATGTTCATCTCTTTTATCTGTTATCCCGTTCACTTACTAAAGAACTTATTTAAAATCACCTCATTTGTTTAAAATATATAAATATATATGTATTTCGAAATATTCATGAATTTCTTTAACATTAGCTATCGACGTTTCTCTCAGCAACTCACTTTATTTTCCCCAAATTGTGATTACACGGTAGCAAATCCGATTGAAAACTTTAAGTCACGCTTTGATGTAGCCCTTTCCGCATAATAAAGAAACTTTCAAATATTCCCAGCGTGGTGAATTTTTCGGTGTAACATTGCCATTCTTTGCAAATCCTCAATTTTCACGCCGCTTTAAACTGTGCCGATATACGCCGCGTTATTTCAAAATTCATATTAATGGAAGTCCAAATACCTTTCAGGAAATCTACATCTATGCATAATGTATGACAGACTCCCACATTTTTCGCCCATTTCTTCTTGATGTTGTAAAATCTTTTCACTTCAGTTTTTTACATATTTTCCACCTTATAACAGTTTCGGAAAAAGAAGTTAGAAAGATGTCGGCATAAATATGCGAGTAATTTGTTTCTTGAAATATTTCCGAAATCGGAGAATATGGAGAAAATTAATTAATTATTCGTGTCATTTAATTTCTGTGTCTTTAAGTTTTGAAAAAGTAAAGATTATATGGGTAGTGTATTATTTATTATAGACGGAACCTTTTTTGAAAAAATGAAAGGCAATATTTCACTAATTCTGAAAAGGTTTGTGCTATTCTGTTTATGCTTATGTGTACATAGAATACACACTTCGAAAACATCGTGTGTTTAAATTGTCAAGATTGCTTTTTGATTCTGCATTTACATAGAACAAAGAACGTATTGTTTCTTTTGAAGAAGGGTTCGATTCTTGATTTATTGAGAATGGTAAAAGTTCTGAATATTATAGATATTAAGGTTCTTTTACTTCAAATTCAACACTTTTCAACTATATCAACAAGTTCTGTTTTCAAGAGAATGCATAAATAAATAATTTGCGTCAAATTTGGCAAAATTTATGCTTGGACATGCTTGGACTGACATTAGTTCTTTTTGGATTTTGAAGGATTGTGATTTGTGTACCTTTTCTTTAGTTAGCAGAAATGTTTTGCATCAGAATCTAAATTGTTTGACAAGATGGGGTCAAAAGAATTTTGCTGTTTGAAGAAAAGGAATAAATTCGAACCTGTAATGGTCTAATATACACTGAATCAGAATAATGTGGGTATGGAAACCAAGCAAGAGAGGGAAAAAAATTCAAAATATCATACTGTTTGTTAGTTTTAATTGTTTTAAATATTAATAATATTATCTTCTTTCATATTACGTACATTTTGTTACCACCAATTTACTGTAATGAGACCACTTAATTGTTACAAAATTGTAAGATGTGAATGTTTGCAAATGCCAGTTTGCATTCGCACTATATCATTCTAAACGTTTCAACCCGTAAGAAGGCAAATTTACTCTGTGATGAAGTCTCGGGCTATTTTTATTAAGGGTCGATGTCTTTCATTTATGCAATACGTAACATTGAGCATATTAATAGAAATAAAATTACACGTTGGAATGATCTAACGCTAACGCTATAAGTATCTAATTCTTAATATATTAACACTTAACGTTATGGCGTTCATATGAGGTCATATGAAATTTTATAATTGAAAATAAAAATACACGGAGGAATATTTTGCATGCTTTGCTTACAAAACTTGACGTTGTTTAGTCAGGATGGCGTTACCTTATTTTGGGTAATCTCTCTATCTATAATGCTGATATATATAATTACTTTTACGCTAATATATATTTTTAATTCTCTTTATTATTTTTGTGTTAGTTTGAGATTTAAATACCGAGCCATTATATTTGTAAATATGGAAGTAGGTACTAGGAAAGTGTAACATTGATTTTCCACAAATATACGTTAAAAATCATTTCAATTTATAACGATTCTGGTTACATCTTCTCTATCCTATGCAAGAATATATTGTAATAGATCATTTCAATTTACTTTTGGGTAGGAAAAACGCGAAATTGCGCCTGTTGTTGGCAAGAGCCTTGGACACCATACATGTGACACTATTGACTTTGCTCAGTTCCTCCCCAAGTTTTGAAGGAGAACACCCCGGAGTAGTATACGGGTTTGAGAATCTTCCTCTCCTTCTCCCCTACCATAACCTCTCAAGAGGACTTTTTGCTCACCGCATATTTAGAGTGCATCCATGCCGCTCAGACACTATATATTTACGAACATCCATGCCTTTTTCGGGATTGAACCTGGACCATTTGGAATGGCAGCCAAGCGGTAAAATCTCTGAACACTAGTAGTTCGACCGGGTTCCGGCGTATGGGTTGCCTGAATGTGCACTTTCATAGTTTTCCCGATGTGTAACGTGAACGCGATCCAATTTTCCTTGAAAACTCCTCTTCGTTCTTTCGTAGGCAGCTAGCCCTCTTGTGCTTGCCCATAATCAACCAAAATAAAGTAAATATTTCTTTAAATATATGTACATTATTTTCATTCAGACACTTACATTGGTTATAATGTTCTCCCTCGTTTTTCTCACAGCATTTAACCATGTTTCTCTTGATGTGCAATTTTTAGCATTTCTGAGTGCCACTTGAACCTTAAGACTTTAAAGCGTCATATTTATTGCAGTTTATTTCAACGCGGTGGTTAAAATATATTTGTTCATATCACGAGCTTCACGAAATTTTTGTCTTTAAAAAATTGTGAAACGTTTCAAGTTTGAGATTTGGCTGAGATGTACTTCTGGTGCACGTCCCTAAATTTGATTTGTAGTTTACTTACTTCAATTCTTTTTTCATCTGTAGGGGCGTGCATATTTGCTCTTTTACGTGGCTGCGTCTCTCCGCAGGGAAGAACCATGAAACAGAATAGAAGTCTTGATATTTTATGCTCAAAATAAAGAACAGCCGTAGTTCAAGTTTATCAGTGAAACCACTCAATACGAAGGATCCCTTCCCATACTTTGGCTCATGCGTATGTTAAATATGCTTGCTCTTCTACATACCTATGTATAATAATTCTTAAAATACATGCTGAAAGTTTCATTCGAATTGTCTCTTGTGTACAGTATCTGTTTATAATTCTGCATAATGTGTTGCATTTTTTGTTATTTGTTTCGCTTTCATTAAAATTTGTGTCTTTTATTCCTACTTTGTCATTATTCTGTTGGTATTTATTCACTTTAAAATGTTGAGTGACTGTTTTTCTTTCATAATTTCAGTCTGTAAATCATTTTTGTGATATTTGTAACTATATAATGGAGATCTGATCAAAAATCTTGAATCTTATGTTTCACATTTTTTAAAACTTAATTTTAGGTCTTGATTACGTTTTTGTGTGTTAAACCTTGTAAAATCACAACATTGTCACTCCATGTGGCCGGGCTTCGGTGGCCAGCCATGTAACAGACACATGCCAGCTTAAGTATTAAAAGTATGTGTGAAATCCAGCTTTTGGTATGTAGTTGTGGTAAATGTAAAAGTCCAGTTCATTTCGAGAGAGAGATTGAGGCTTTTCTCGTAATCGGTACTAGCATCCGATATGATGATTCCTCCCCCTCTGATCTTGTTTCAGATAGCATTAATTCTGTGGCAAATATTTCTGACATTATTCATTATAACTAACCAGAGTCTGGAAGAGAATTCGAAGTGCAGATTCTTTTGATACAATATTCCCATTATTACATTTCTTCAGATGATCACGAATAATTAATTAGCTGTGTTTTGTGAGCTTTAGACGATTTACAAATTTACACATTTTTAAAAATGGTGGTGATACCAATCTCTTGTCTGAAGAACTGTGGACGATTGATGTATTTTTCTGAATAACCTTATTCGTCAATACTGCATTTTTTGGGAAATTTAATGCATGAATACTCTTGTTTTCTTGCCTTAAATTGTAGTAGATCAAGCTACACCTTAACCCACAAACATCCGATTAGGCATCTTCAGCTTTTCCTCAAACATTTGTCTTTCTTCTGTTAAGGGATTTTAAAAGCAGAGAGCAGAATGAAAAAATAAATGGGTAAAACAATAATAAAAAAGTTCAGTATCGCATGGCGTAATGTCCAAACAACATCCTACAAATCCTTTATTAGACTGTTGCGTGCTTTCATGAAAATAAATATTTTCCTAACCCTCGTACCACCCCTTTCGTAAGCAACCACGTCGACTCTTGGTTACAAATAACCCCCTCAACCTCCTTCAGGGAGGCTTTATGCTCCGAAACAAACAATCCTGGGGTTGATCCCTTGGTCAGAAGCTAGTGCTGCGTAAATTGATGGATTACCCATGAGATTGTGCCCTAGGGAAAACCCGTGGCCTGTTTCTCCCTTCTCCAGGAAGAGATGGTCTTTATTCATGAAATAGAGACTTTCTCCCCAGCGTACGGGTTTTCGACTTTCCACTGCAGATCTTTTTTCGTATTATTTATTATTTTTTATTCCCATCCAGCGATGATATGACTAGAAATGTGTTCTGTATTACATTTATTTATATAGATAAGCACGTATTTATTCTGAAGTAGTTTTGTGATTTAAATTTTTAAAATAGATTGTCAGTAAAGTTGTTACTTGTATTGTATGAGCAAACAGCCATATACCCTTTAAAATGTACCTGAGTAAATGAATCGATAGTAAAATTACTGAGGTTTAAATTTTAATACCACATTCAAATCTTGAATATTGCAGCTAACGCTAGCTTCTTCCAAATCTTCATTTGTCTTAATTAAGCTATGAGACATTGATCAATGAAACGTTTTCATGCATTTTGATGCTTCCAAATTTTTTCTGTATAGCAGAACTGCTATTATCTGCAGTTAATCGAGACAGCATCCACTACAAACATTATCAAACATATTACAGACTACAAACATATTAGCCTGGTGGGTTAGTTTGGATAATTTTTTCATCTCTTTTTCTGTGAGCCAAATAAATACATGTTAAAACATGAAGGAGAAAATTTAACTTTTTCACTTATCCTTTTTTTTCCTAGCAAATATTATGCAGGTTAGGAAAAAATATTTTTCATTTTCAATCAATAAAATGTAAAGCGCGTTTAATAATACAAATTTTTACAGTGCTAATATTAAGCTAAAAAATTTATTTTTGTTTGCATAATAAAGTACATAATCTGTTTCTGTGTAACTAAAAATAAACTAAGTTGGCTGCTTGCCATGTTCATTTAAACCCTTTTTTTTTCGGAAGGGGGGATGTCTCTGCAATTTCCCCGAGTAAACAAAAAATAATTATCCTGAATAAACTATATAATTGTTTTAATGCTTATAAACTACGAATCTGCTAAATTACATGTAATAATATTTTATGAAAAATATGACGCCCAGACGGGAAAGTGGTCAGTAACGCTGACTGCCGTACCGAAGGGCCCGGGCTCGAAAAGACTACATTAAATTATTTTTTATTTCATGCCAATATAAATCTCTGACATACATTCATTAAATATTTATTATACGGTTTTGTTTTTATTTATTACCTCCCGCTAGCCTAAATACAGATAACAGACATTATGTTTTCGGTCCAAAATTCGATAGTGAGATTTCAGTGAATAAGCAAGAATTGAGAGTCCCCACAATACCTTTTTCACTGTTAATACACTGGTTATCATAAATTAAGGGGACTCAAACACCTTAAAACCCATAAGACATTCGAATATGTGACTGTTGCAAGAATTGGGATTACTTATTTATTTTAAAAGCAATTACTTCCAGCTGTAAAATACATCTGATTACGTAATATAGCTGCTTTCTGAAATAGTAATCAGAACGTTTGTGTTGCCACAAATATTTTTATAATTTAATCCGCTTTGTGACAAAATTTTTCCTCATGTTTCCACCTTGCGCACACAGTTTAAGACCTTCTGTTGCATAATTTAATTCCATATTTAATATATAGCTTTTATAACATTTGAAAACTACTGTGAACCAAAAATTCTTAAGAATTTCGTGTTAAATTTTTATTTTGTTGGGAGTTGAGTTTATAAAATGTATTTAATTAAAAAAATCTGTAATGTTTTCGTGCATAAAATTTTTTAATATTAAAATATTCATCAGATTTTTGGTTCAGTTAGAAAATAGTGCCCATATAAAGAATTGCATCTAATTTCAAGTATGTACCATTAGCCATCTTTAAAATAGCATGCGCGCAAGGTGAAAACGTAACGAAAGATTTTGTCACAAAGCGGAATTAATTAAAAAAAATATTTGTGGCAACACAAACTTTCTGGCTATTAGTTTGCAAAGCAGCTGTATTATGTAGTCAGATGTAAAAAGTTGGAAGTAATTGCTTTTAAAGTAAGTAAGTAATCCCAATTCTTGCAACAGTCACATATTTGAAGATCATAAGGGGTTTAAGGTGTATGAGCCCCCTTAAGGAAAAATCTCAAAAATAGCGATAACTCCCTCAAAAATAAGCCAAACCGTGTAAATTTTGAATATGTTGCCAAGTACAAGTAGCTGAGTATAAATGCGATATTCATATTTGTGGCACTGCTTTCGGAATACGTCATCTGCGAAGAGCATAAAAGTCCATGTTTGAGAGCAAGCCCACATATTTCACTGTGACAGTGACATCAGAAATCTGAGATAGCCGATTCGTAACAATGAGCTCCAGGCATCATTTGCCTGCAGAACTGCGATAGAGAGACATTGGGAGACCAGAGCCAGGACAAAGTCAAACGGAAGTGACCAGATGGCTAAATGTGAGTCTTTCTGTGGTTCATAGACTTTGGAGACAATTTCAAACCACAGATTCGGCATCTAGGAGGTTCAGCCAAGGACCGCCAACTGCTACGACGAGCGCCGCTGATCGATATTTGACATTATGTGCACGCAGGAATAGAACCGCTACTCCGACTCTTCTTAGATCCTCCCTTGCTGCAGCCACCCGAAGGTTCGTGTCAATGTCCAACTGTGCGTAGAAGTCTTCGGTTCTCTTTACGGATGACTCCAGGTTTAGTCTAGAAAGCGATAGTAGGCGTTATTTGATATGGGAGAATCTAGAATCCGTTATCATCCATCAAACATCCGTGAAAGAGATGCATACGGAAGGGGCAGTGTTTGTTTTTGGGGTGGCATCTCTTTGGGTGGACGCACAGATCTCCATGTCTTTCCAAGGGGAACCGTGAATACTCAGATTTATAGAGATGACATCCTTGATGTTTATGTGCGCCCATATGCCGGGGCAATAGGTGATGCTTTCCTGTTACAGGACGACAATGCAAGACCACACAGGGCTCGCATCGTAGATGATTATCTTCAGCAGGAAACAGTTATGCGCATTGAGTGGCCAGTTCGATTCCCGGACTTGAATCCTATCGAGCACGTTTGGGATGCTTTAGGGAGACGTCTAGCTGCTCTCAATCCGCCCCCTCAGACCCTTGTCGCGCTTGCAACTGCTTTGCAAGAGCAATGGCTCTCGCTTCCTATGGAAGACCGCGTAATTGAAAGCATCACACATCGCTGTATGTGCTGCATTGCTTCTAGAGGCGATCATATTCCATATTGTAGGTACTTTTCCTATAGCAAACTGACACCTTCGATTTGTTCATTTTATACATTTGCTAATTTCTATACTACCATAATTGTCTGATAATTTCTTTTTATATTATTTGATATCTTACTATATGTTGTATATTGTGGGTAAGTTTCATTAAATTCTACATGTAACTTTTTCAGTAATCGTGATTTTTGTGATTTTCCTTAATTTATGATAACCAGTGTAAAATGACGTCTGTCTCTCTGTTTGTAAGTGTGTGATGACTTATGTGAAACTTTGAACTCTTATACAAAACTTCCGAAGAGCTCTGTTCGTTCATATAAAGATTTGATTAGATTGTGTTAAAACCTAAAAAAGTTCTTTATTACGTGAAACCCATAACAATCATTAATGGATACCTGTGACCCCATAACAGATTTTAGTGAAACATTATATTAAAATAAATGTAATCCGTATTAATATAAATATAATCCAGAACAATTTTAGTATTTAAGAATATTATATCAGTGGAAACAACATATTAGATTTTGGCTAAAACTTACAAATTGGAAGTGATACTTTACTTAAATCTCTGAATAGACTTTTGTAAAAACGAATTTTATTAGATAATTT